TATATATATATATATATGTCTGTGTGAGTGTGTGAGTGAGTCACTTTCTTTCCCTGCTTGGACTCGCACATATCCGTAATGAATGCTGAAGCGAACGAACACAGATGAATGCATGTATGTGTGTCTGCAATGGAGCCAAGAGACGTCGTGCGACCCTGATGGACGTGACACAACAACACAGGAATGCACAACAAAAGAAAGAGAGGCGAAGTTCATGTGGATGGGCGAGCCGTGAAGACGGTCCACACGCACAACTTGAACCTCTCTTTCTCTCACTCGCTTCTTCATACAAAGACACTAACACAAGCACGCATGTAGATAAATGAAGTTACCATGTTTCCTCCATCGTCTTTCCATCTCTCTCTTTTTTTTCTATAAAGATATATATATANATATATGTATATGTATATATCTTGCGTAAATATATTTATGGAATTTCTCTTCACGTAGGGGTATAGCCAATGGGGACACATTCTATGTGTACGCAACTGCGTGCATGCCAACAAGGAGTTGTATGAGGATATTGTTGTCAGCGTGTGTGGCCTCTCACTCCCTCCCTCCAGCCTTATTGCTTCTTGGACATTGTGCCTCTCGTGGCACCATCGCCATTCGCCGAAGCACCACTGCTGCTGCTGCTGCTGCTGCTGTTGCCTCCGCCACTGCTAGAAGCTGGGCCGCTCCCACCGCTAGTGGAGGTGGACGGTCCGGCTGCAGGTGATGCCGTGGACGTGGACGCGGCGCCACCCTTGCCCTTCGACGCGCGCTTCTTCAACATACGCTCTGCCTCGCGGTCCTCCTTCTCCTTGTACCACGCCCGCTTCTTCTCCCGCAGCATGCGCCGCAAGTTCTTTCCTTCCAGCGTGCGTGGTGTGGGGGGTGAGGGAAATATGACGCTGCGGCAGTTACTTGTCCCACAGCTGCACGCAAATGGCGGCATGTTCTCATCACACAGCGTCGCGTAGTCGACGGTCAGCTCCTCCCCAACGTTAATCTTGCGTTTTGCGACGAGTGAAAGAGTGCGTCCCTGCATGAACTGCATGTTGGGTTCGCACGAGTGACGAATCGCCACCGCCTGATGCAGGCGGTCGCCACGTAGGATGACGCAACCAACAGTGGGGTCCTCCTCACCAAGCTTGTAGAGCGCCTGCGCGACGACCGGTACCGGGTGCGCGGCGTCGCTGAAGAGACTTTTACCCGTCCGAACTGTCTTGCTCGCGCGTGTGGAGAAGTTGCCCTTGGAATCGTGGCTGATGAAGTACCACGGCCGCCGCGCCACCTGCTCCCGCATCGCGCGCAGCACGGCGTTTCGTATGAAGCGGTCGTGATCCCACGACTTATCGCCCTGCACCATCACATCGGCGAAGTCGCCGCCGTCCTGCTCAGCGTACCACATGCCACAGTTGGGGTTGATTTCAAGGAAGTACACATCCCCTTTTGGGTCGATGCGGAAGTCGACGCGGCCGTAGCCAACACCGCTCATGATGTGGCGGAACGCATTGCGGGCCATGTCGACAATTTGCGGGTAGGCGGGGTCGTTCTGCGGCAGGAAGCCGTAGGCGTTGTCGTTGCACTCCATCGACCACTTTTTGTCAAAGTACGCAAAGTCATCGTCATTCTGGAGGAACTTGAACATAAGCGGCTTAAAGACCTTTACACCAAACTGGCTACTGCTGTCGGCGCAGGTGAGAACGGTGCCTTCGCGACCACGGATGAACTCCTCCACGAGGGCGTGATTGAACTCCTTCAGGAACGACTTCACCTTCACCTGGAGCTCCTCCAAGTTATCGCAGCGGTTGTCCTTGTGGATGCCAACCGAGGCGTACCCTGAAAGGTGCTTCACAATGACAGGGAACCGCAAGTGGCGGCACTTCTTTGCCAAACCCTCCACACCCTCCAGAAGCACAAAGTTGGGTGTGCAAACACCAGCGGCGCCTACCAGGAGCTTCATATCAATCTTGCTTGGCTCAAAGCTGTGCGAGTCTGTTCCAGTGAAAGCGGCATTCTGCTCCTCCAACGCCTCCACTACATCAACACCAGCACGCTTCTCATCCTTCCCACCATCGCAAAGGTTGAAGAAGACATCAAACTTACCAGTTGTAACTAACTCCCGCACCTGGCGGTACGAGTCATCTTTCTTCACGGCGACTTCCGTGAAGCTGTAGTTCCTCTTATCCTTTACCCAGTGAGCAGGGCTGCAGTGGTAGTCGTCAAGTTCCGCCGTCGCGGAGCCGCTACCTTCGTAACTACTGTTGAGGACACAGACACGGAGTTTGTGGGACTTTTTCTTGGGGACCACACGATTAATCTTCATGCGACCGCGCGTTACATTTGCGGCGGCAGAAGATGCAGCTGCTGCACCAAGCGAAGAGGAAGAATACGAGGAATGAGGCGTATGTGCGGCCCCGCGGGACGGTGATGATGATGATGTTGCTGCTGCTGCTGCTGTTGTTGGTGTTGTTACCGCCACTGAACCATGGGCTGCAGCACCAGCAGACATCGCATTTGGCTTCCTTCGCTGCTTCTTCATCGCCATCGCTTTCTTCATCATCACCTTCGTCTTTGGCTTCCTCGTTCGCCTCGACGTGGGCGCCACCGAGCTGCCGCCACTACCACTGTTG